GGTGCAACAATACAGAAAATTCTCGATTTACTTTGGTTCGATATACTTAAGTCTCACGGTTCGATATTTTTCGATGCAAAAAAGAGAAACTTCCATGCCCCTTTTAACTTGTAATTTATTTATATTAATTATGAACATTTGTTTAACCTTAAAAGTACAGTTTTTAAATTAAATGTTGCTGAAACAACAAGTTTCTCAGTGGATCTGTGCTCCACAATGCAGCCTAGGTGGAGTAGTCGAACACAGATCCACTGATCCTTCAACACAGAGCATCTTCAGAAGACAAGATGATAAAATAATAACAAAAATCTGTATTGTTCGATACAAGTGTGTATTGAACCTAAAGCTCTGTATTGAACGGTTCAATACGGGTACATGTATTGTTGCACCCCTAATATATATTATGGGTGGCTGTGGTAGTTAGTGGGGTGGTCCTGTAATGGGTGGGTTGCTGGTTCAATCCACTGTTCCAGCTATCTTGGTCACTGTGACCTTGGGAAAGACACTTCACCCACCTTGCCTACTGATGGTGGCCAGAGGGGCCGGTGGCACAGTATGGCAGCCCCACCTCTGTCAGTCTCTGTGAATGAACGGTGTAAAGTGTCTTTGAGTGTCATAAAACATGCTATTAAAGACTGATGCATTATTATTATTATTATTATTATTATTATTATTGACCTTTCGAAGTAGAATTTGTATGCTCTCTCTGTGAATGTGTGCATTTTCTCAGGGTTCTCTGCTTTCCCCCCAAAGGGCAAAAACATGCTAGGCTAACTGGTAACTAAATGATCCTCTGTTGTGAGTTTGAATTAGCCTGGCCGTTGCCCACCTACACATTCAGTCCGTGTTGACAAGGCTTCCAAACTAAATTAAATTTGTCTCACAAAGCCTGCAGCTCTCATTCACAGCCATCTCGTTCGGCTCAGTTCTTCTCACTTCCCAGTGAGGTTTGGTTGTTTACGGCACACACAAGTGGCCGCTTTTTACCAGGCTAAGTTTGAATGGTTGTTTCTCCCATTTGTCTGCATGAGGTCCTGTGATGGACTTGAACCCTATCCGTGGTGCCTCCCACACTGCACAGTGAGTGCTGACCATAGGCGCCCGTGACCCAGAAAGGAAGATGCAGGTAAAGATGCTAGATGAATGGACCACTCAGTGCAGAAGGAAACGGATTTGCTTTTTATGGCATGACATTGTGTAAACTGGTATGACTGCGCGTGTTTCTTCCCATTATTCTTCCTCATACTTAAAACCACGTAAAGAAAAAAATTTTCGTAGGAAACTAGTCACAACAAAGTAATGTTTCTGCATAAACAGCTAAGAGGAAACATCTCTGAAGCAACACCAAACTGCTGATGTAAGACCTCGTAGTTTTAGACAGCTTTATCTGAGTTGGCAGCTTCCTCTTTATAAATTAAGTAAAAAACAAAGTTGGCTGAATCTATAGCTGTTCTGTATAAAGTAAGGGAGTTATTTAATGATAAAGCACTGTATATGTTGTACAATGCAGTAATAGGTCCATACTTGGTTTATTGTATTGAAGTCTGGGGGAAAGCGTGTAGGACAATTTACAAACCCTGTTTTTTTTTTATTACAGAAAAGAGCTGTGAGAATTATTACTGGAAAACATTGTCGTCACCCATCAAATTCATTGTTTTGTAAATTGAAAATATTGAAGTTATTTGATTTGGTAGATTATAATATTCTACTGGTTATGTATAAGGCCCACAAAAACACATTACCTTTAAACATCCAAGTGAACTTTGTTAAGAGAGAGTTGTTATAACCTTAAAGGGACAGAGATATTTGTAAAACCCAAATTCAGAAATAGTTTGAAGGAACGGTGTACTTTAATTCAAGGAATAAAACTATGGAATAATTTGGGGAGTGATGTAAAAACTGCAGGATCATTGTGTACATTTAAGAAAATGATAAATGTTGGATTGCTAAAGAAATATAAAACAGTATAATGTGTATCTACAGCGGGTAAAATAAGTACTGAACACGTCACCATTTTTCTCAGTAAATATATCACTAGAGGTGCTAATGACATGAAATTTTCACCAGATGT